GAGCAGTAAAACTGTGTTTTTGATAATCTGTCCTACCCAGAAAATATACTCCCCTCACATGCCTCAGAGTTTCTCTGACATTTGAGCATTCATTTTTGTATTGTCTATGGTAAACGCCGGACTTATATTATACTTATATAGCGCTTTATCCAGTCTTTAAGACCCCTCAAAGCACTTTACATACTACATGTCATTCACCCATTCACACAGAGCAGTGTACCTTACTCACGGACCTAACATTCACACACATTCACACATTGTTGGCCATGCCATCGGGAGCAACTCAGGGTTAAGTATCTTGCCCAAGGATACAACGACATGTTGTATCTGCATGGGCTGGGATCGAACCCACAACCTTCTGGTTGAAAGACAACCGCACTCCCTCGCAGCCACAGTCGCCCTTTGCAGGGACAATGCACAACATACATTGCACCAGATACAGCTCATTTGTATGTAAGACATTATGTTATACTGTACCACTCTTACATGTGCAGGGAATGCTTTACCGTACGACTTCTGCATTGATAGAGATGTTTGGGCATTTTTTATAAACCAATACAACTGAAAATGAGACCCCCATTAAAGAAAGTACCACGCACCAACTCCCTTATTGCTTCTAAGCACGTATTTGATAGTAATTAAATCATTTTTTTGTATGCAATTAAGGTTCTTGATGCTTTAGACTTTTCTGCTATATTAAAACACACTAATGATTTTCCAGAAAATTAGCATTGTAATGGTTTGTCATTAAGGTCTCTGATGATGGTATTCACCCACTGACTACTGATTACAATACATTGTGTTAATGGTACTTTTGGGATCGTTAAACATATTTAACAGCAAGACTCCCTTAAGCCATTTTAAAGAAGAATTAGCATCACTCTGTCGAACTTTAATACAGCTGAACTCTAAATTAGACACTGCATTTACTCTTCATGAATGCTTCCCATAATGGTGCATTGCTGCTTATGGCACAGAAGACTTACCACAGGAAAATCTAAATGTTCAAAACAATTAATCCTCATCGACAGGGAAAGACCAAAGCGGGCTGCTTATTCCTGGCCGCAGATCATTGATTTCAGCTGAAAGGACAGATTATAATGGAGTGTAGCCAGTCTTCTAATAAAGTGAACATGATATGATTAAAAACGCTGTCTCCATGTATCAGAGCAGGCTCCGACGGAAACATGTAGATAGATGCAGACATTTGACTATATTTCTCCACAAAACAGCACTTTATGTTTATTCAAATTGTCTTTGTGTTGACTTTCATATTAAGTGTATTTAAGTGCATATGAACAGAGCAAATGGTTTCTTGTGCTATAGAGGTTCTTTTTCTTATTTTGTTTTTAACTCCGAAAAAACTGGCCATCTGGGATGTAAGCTCCTTCTATTACATTTGAATTTAATCTGCAAGGCAAAAGTGCTGTTCATCCTCCTGAGGCAAAAGCTAGCTGATATTCAAAGTAATCATGCACTGCTGTGCATGTATATGTTTGAGAGAGTAGACCCATTACTGTCTGTGAGGCTCTCGGGATGCTCCATCACCTTCTAACAGTGCAGATTGAAACACTTAACCTCATGCAGAAAATTAATGCCACACATATATACAGGGATGGAGGTTCCTAAAGATAACCAAGTGAATAAACGCAGGGCATAAATAGTGGCCTAATTCTGTCTGCAACCAAGTGGTCCGACCGCATCATACCTTATCTGAGCGTTTCCATTAGAGTGGCCCCGGTTCCCAAGGCCCCTGCACTGCCTCCTGATGAAAGCTTCTGTTACAGCAGGGACCTCCTAAGAGCTGACAGACAACTAAATTGAATTTTACAGTAAGCAATTATGCAAATGAATTTCAATATAACTTTTTACATGATTACATTACATGTCATTTGTTAGACGCTTTTATCCAAAGCGACTTACATGCATTCGGTACAGTGGGCAATACCCACAGGAGCATTTTGGGGTGAAGTGTCTTTTCCAAGGACACAACGACATGCTGACTGCAGTGGGACTCCAACTTGCTATCCCCGGATTCGAAGTCCAGCACTCTATCCACTGAGCCACAGCCTCCCGATTAGATGTTTGCATTATGCAGGGGTATGTTTTTTAATTAGGAAACAGCATCATGATGGAGGAGCTACATGAGATAGGATTAATGTTCCTTAATTCCAGAAGTGATAGGAGCAGCTTTCTTATATTTAGAAACATAACTGAACATGATTAAATGTGTAAGTAAAACATGTTCACACTTATCTGGAGGTGTTGAAACTAGCTAGTGAATGATGATGTAGTCAATAACATGTTAATAGAACAAACAGCCAATAAAACATGCAGGTTTGGGTCACCAAAACAGTAATTGTGACATTGTATAACAAGAGTACAAGTTCTCCAGTGGAGAAGAAAAATGCCCCTCTTTGTTCTTAACAGGTCAAACTGAACCATCTTTGAACGTAATAAAAACAGCCTCCAGGTGACTGCTGTATAGTTCACTACACTCATGATACTAATTTAAACACAAGACACGTACAGTTGCTTACCGGACAGCAACATGTAAGTATGCTTGCCAGCACTGCATTATGGTAAATTGATCTTTGTGGTGAGTGTTCACCGGTACGTCCAGTACAAAGAAAAACAAAGTCTTGAAATGAGGAGACATCAGGTCTGCACATAAATGTTATTTTTTTAAACTGAGGCTTGCTATTGTGCTGCATGTTCCAGCTAAACATGTGTTTGCTGATGTATGATGCTCATGGTTTGGTGTTGAGTAACAAATTATACAATTCTGTCAATGGAGACGTAGTGTGATTTGCTTGATCATTGCCAAGCGCCTGTTGACGATTGATGAACTCATCCTAAAAGCACAACGACTCCTCTGAAGGTCCGCTGGCACCACAGAAAGTTCATAAATATGTAGTTCGAATGGATGTTATAATCAACAAGCCCCTTATGTAAGAGTAGACTAGACGTCCCTCTTACTCTCAGGGCAAAAACCACTACATCTCTCAGAAAATGTTCTGCATTTGTTCCCCATCTGATGCATCCACCATGGCACTTACAAACTGGCTGCAGGCAATCTGCTCCACTCCAGGACCCTGCTTGTTTTGCTCCCCTAGCTTAAGCACATACCGAGATGAATAAACGTGATGAGGCATACATTACTTAAGCGTGGATGCTAAGTCATTAACAAGAGATATGGTACTCAGGATATGCAGTAAGAGATGTGTAACTGGAGGTTCACAGATGTTTTTGCTTCGCTCATTACGCTGACTTCCTCACTCACATCCTCAATCAATGGCATTACAGAGCCATTTTTGGCTTTCTTTAACCCTTAGATGCACGAGTGACTGGACCCTACACTCTTCCATAAGTGGGTCAAAAAGGACCCGTATTAGAATTATGTGTTTTTATGCCATTTCTGCCATTTTCATTTTGGTTAAGAAAAATCACTTTGATAGTCCTATACCCCCCACCCTAACCTTCCCTTATATTGTAAAGCGATTTTGAGTCCTTGAAAAGCCCTATACAAATATAATGTATTATTATTATTATTATTAT